ACAGACAGACAGACAGACAGACAGACAGTCAGACAGACAGACAGTCAGACAGACAGTCAGACAGACAGACAGACAGACAGACAGACAGACAGACAGACAGTCAGACAGACAGACAGACAGAAATAACAGTGGGAAAGTAAAGAAGTATAGGAACCTACCAGTGACACCCTCCAACCACCCGCTTAGGTTTCTTAAAAAGGGAACGTAACTAGAGCAGTTGTTGTACTCGAGCGTGTCATTTTCCAATGAACCTTATAGAAGTTATGAACATTACGGACTCTTTCAATGGGGGAACAGATAACAAAACAACAACAACAGCAACAACAAAAACTTTGAGGCAATTTCAGCCATTTTCCTCTGGTTTTGTTTTGCACTAACACTAACGGTTAACTTCAAAATCTAAAACTCTCACATTTTGTTGGAACTAGATCTACAAGGCTAAACACAAACGCGCCGGTTGATAGAAATGAGCTTGGTAAAAACAAAAGAAAAAAAATTCAAAAGACCACAAAAAAACCAACAGCCCCAAAACAAAACAAAACCCCACTAAGAAATGTAACTGATGTGAATGACTATAGGGTGTTCAGTTCAGAGAATGTTCTAGATACATTGTTCTCATGTCTTCTTTTGTCCTGGACAAACGACAATAGCAATTTTACTGTGAGGAAAAAGACCACACCCCTGAGTCTCAAGCTGGACTTAAGTTCTTAAAGTTCAACAGAAAGACCAATAAAGGCTAAGGTTATGAAGCTTAATAAATGCTATGTTCATAAAGCCCAATAAATGCCACGTCATAATGTTCTTAAAGCCCAGTAAATGCTATGTTAAAAAGCTCAACAAATTAATGCTATGTTGTAAAGCCCAATAAATGCTATGGTCATAAAGCTTACTAATAAAGGCTATGGTCATAAAGCCTAGGAAATGTTACGGTCTAAAATACTGTCCAGATCAAATTGTAAAATGTCACAGCGGTCCTGTGGTAATCTATCTCTGCGCTATCAGCAACACTAAGTTCCTCCAGCAACCTTACGGCACAGCTCTCCTGATAAAAACGCCTGCAATTCAATTTGCCATTCCGCGGTACGTTTCTTATTACCAACCTGAACATTTATTGCGTTTGGTCCCTTTTGGTAAATCATATCAAATAAATATTAGTGTAAAATCATAGACTTTGGTCATTTTTCGCTCTGAGAAATGGGACCAAACGGTATACGTGACGTGGAGACCTTTCTCCTGTTGGCCGGACCTCAAAATGTTTCATCCGGCAAAGACCAACAGCCGGGAAAATAGTATTTGCTCTCGACTCAAAACAAGGCCGTTATCTGGCCGGGGAGATAGTGACCGGCGTGACGTAACAGCGGCTCCGATGTCCGAGCGTGACTGAGTGGACACGGAGTGGACACAGCATGTAGTGGACATGTAGAGGACATGTGCCCGCTTTTAAAGCACAAGGGGGCTATCCCGAAAAATGCTGTTTTGAGAAAATCGAAGGTAAAGTTTTTGCCCCTTGTTCACTTTCTTTAAAAGACAAGGAGAGTTTTCTCTATAACCAAATAAATATACACTCGAAAGAAACCAAACTTCTCCTATAGGTAGGGCAATGCCCACTTTTGGTGTAGGTCAAGATTTCAAGAAACCCCCGAAATCTGTGTTTGCCCGCTTGTCCGTTAAAGCGACCATGTAGTGGACACAGCACGACGCTGCACGCATTCCCAGGGTCCCAAGCCTCACGTTCTCCGGCACGCCACTCTGGCTGGACCTTGTGCTGGTTCACTGGGGGTTTTTTTGGTTGTTTTTTTTTTTTGAGAGGGGATATTTATTCATTTTTAATTTTTTTGGGGGTAAGTGTTTTGCGTCGCTCGCAACTACATAAGGTCATTTTTATGAGCGCGCGGGACACACCAAACATGTTCAGTTTGTAGGACATTTTTAATTTTGCTCGGGTGGCGGCCAAAGCCTACTCTTATCGATTTTGGACCATCGAGGGATCTTTAACGTGCGCAACTTGCACACGAGACCTCTGAGATTTTCCGCCCTTGTCCGAGAAGGCTAGGTGTAGATCTTTCCTACCTGAAGATCGGGGGTGTGGCTGAAAGCAGTTAGAAGGAGCAAAAGAGAAGCAGTTGAAAGGAGTCAGAAGCCCAGAGGAGGGGGCAAAGGAGGTGAGGGTGTGGGGGCAGAAAGTGGAGACGAAAGTAGACGGCAGAACATTGCTAGAGAGCGGGTCGATAGGAGGTGAAAGGAGACAACTTTAGAGAACATTTTAGAGACGAATTTTTTCCCCGTTGCAACCCGGATTCGGACCCGGGAGTTTTGAATAAGAGTGGAACACCTTAACCTCTAGGCCACGAGTACCCCCTCCAGTGGTTAGGCCAGGGTTGGTGATTTTTATTATTTTTTAAATTTAAAAAAAAATCGATTTTTTAAATTT